CTTCAACCCACAACATTGCACTTGGAAGCAAAAGCACCTCACCCAAAACTTGCAGAGAGCAGCGGGGATCCATGTCTTCGGCGAGGCTGCCGCGTCCCCGCCTCTCACCCTCCGCGTGCTTTTCTGTTTGTTTTTTGGTGGGTTCTAGTATTATTACACCGAAAAATCCCACCACAATCACAGACGCAGCCCCAAAACCAAGAGGAGTCGCAATCTTCCCGCCCCGCGGCTCACGAATCAGCGAGATGTCGTCGCTGCGGAGCATCCTCCAACCCAGGCCGAGCCTCACTGCTGGGGAGAAAGCTCTCGCCCCCCCCCGTTGCCTCCATTTTTCACTCTGCCTTTAAAAAGTCCGGTAAGTGAGGAATTCCTTCAGCTTCCTGGGAATAGGGAGCGCCAGGACTTGGTACGTCGTCAGGAAAGTGCGCAGAGCTTTGCGACACAAGTGCTTTAGTGACGAGAGGACTCTTGGAGCCGTCCAGAATTGGACGTGTCCATCTCTGGTCCTGCAATGGGACCCAAACAAGCCGTGAGCGCAGGGCAGAGAGACTCAAGAAAACTCAATTACTCCCCAAATAATCCCGAGCTTGCAGCGACTACACATTCTCCAGTCTGGGAAATCAGCCCCGCACCCCCAGGGAAGCGGAGCAGACCCAGAGCTGCGGGAGGAGGGAGCAACCTCATGTTTCTCCGCTCTCCCCTCCCACGTACGCACCCCGTGGCAATGAAACCTCCATGCGGGAAGTACATGCAGCACAGGCCGTTGGTCATGGGAGCGAACGCGACTGGAGAGCGCAGTTCCAGCGCCCAGATCCTCAGGAGCCTGAGGAGAAAGGGAGAGAATGCGATCCAGGCACTGCCCTTTCCCCTTATGCACAGCATCGGTGGGGGCTGGCACATCCCGAGCTCCTGGTTCGTTTCCGTTGCACCCTCCTGGGGATCCTCTTCCTGCTGGTGTCACTCACCTGTCATCTGCCACTGTGGCCAGGTAGAGGCCCTCAGGGGAGAAGCAGACAGAGCGCAGGGAACTCGTGTGGACTTCGCTGCTGTAATCCACCGCTGAGTGCAAGGGGACATGGCTGCAAGGAGAAAAAAAACAGCATCAGCTCCAGGCCCATCCCCAGTGCTTCAGGGCTGGCAGAGGGGCCAAACATGGCAAGTTGGAGCTCCCCTGCAGCTGCTGGAGACAGGGGAGAGGTTTTGGCTGTGCCCAATTCGGAGGGAAGGCCAAGCTTAGCCCTGACACCCCTCCCCAGCTGCATACCGCAGTGTCCTCAGCTGCTCCCACCGCAGCATCCTCAGCTGCTCCCCGGTGTAGGGGTCCCACATGATGACGCAGGCGTCGTAGGAGGCAGTGACGAGGAGCGCTGAGTCTGGCGAGAAGTCGCATGACACCACGCTGCTCTGGTGCCCCTCCAGCCTGCGGATGAGGGTGTAGGACCGCATGCTCCACAGCAGCGCCTGCACGACACGGGCCGCAC